CGAGATATAAACGAAAGTTCTATCTTGTAGCATTTTGGAGAACCCGGTCTTAGAAATTTTTCTCAAAAAGGTTTTGCTTACAAAAACATGGCCCTGAGTCTTGGCTATCAAACGCTGAAAACCGCAAGTCTCCATCTTGTTCCTATCAAAATTTATTCAAAAAACATTCACCTGCCTTGACTTCTGGCGCCGATATTACTATATATTGGGGGTACCCTTGGGTCATCATATACTATATATTAGGGGTACCCTTGAGTAGGGTAGCAACTGAACTTCAAACTTTAGATGCTAAAGTGGTTTAAGTTTAAAGTACTATTTTAAAATTTAACTTCTTTTTTAAAGTTAAAGTATAGAGTTTCGTTACGTAAAAGTTTTGGTAAGAAATGAATGAAATGTAAGAAAGGTTTAAAAATGGAAATCATTTTAGAGCAAGCTGAATGTGCTATCGAGTTCTGAGAAAACTACACCTAGTATCTTTCTGAACTTAGCTATAATGGAGCTTTCGAGATAAAGCGTGAACTTAGCAGTTGATAAACTTAACCAAAGAGTAGGGTCGCCTTCATCCGTTTAGTCTTTGTTCAAAGTTATTGTACCAATCTCATTTGTCCTTGACATTGCTCCCTTCGGAAAAAATGTAAGCGAAAATACTCCTGTATTTGACAGCAAGATATCAGTACATTATTTTCAAACTATTTCTAAAAACATATGTTGTAGTATCAATAGCTTCTCTTTGACTTTTACTGACATTGAGATGAAGCTTGGAATAATGAATATTCTATTGACAGTAGTAAATGAAACGGCGATGATGTGCTGATGATTTAGAATAGGTGGCAAGACATCGCAAGTCAAAACATCGAAATGCAAAATCTCGAAAATAATTTTTTCGAAAGTCGAAAAAATGGGGTAGAAGCCATAGATTTTGCTCTGATTCACACTATTGATCTGCGTGCTCGTTGTCTTTTATGGATTTATTTATGGAGCATTCGAGCAAGACCTGGATATTGTCCCTATAAAATTTGTAATTTTCGGTATTTTGCTTTTCGGTGTTTTCACTTTCGATGTGTTGACACCTTCCCATGAGTTATTGTTATGATTGCACACGTTTGAATATATTGTGAGCTTGAGGGAAAGATGTAACTCGCGTTTCCATAATGTTACCTTTTGGTAGGAGAGAATAGCTTAATATATTTAATTGTATATTTGATCTTCGAGTCAATCTGATTGCCAGAATATTCAGAAAAATCTGATAATAAACTCAGCAACTCTACTAACAGTAGCCCATAATGATAATCTGACTTTAATATGATACTATTGGATGCATGAATTGTGAACGTAGTGGTGTGTGCATACTATACTACATGTACAAGTTGTCTTATGGATCAATGAATGTATATTAGAACATTATGATGTTATAACAAGAGCTGTGGATTTAAGCATCAATCAAAAGATGAACTTCAACAAATGGATACTTCTGAGCCAACTGACTCTGTACTGAATATGGTATAGATTATGACAGAAAATGAAAAACTTCACATTAATAAATAACTTACGATGCGTTGGTATCTTTGTATTTTTGCAGCACCATGCTTAACTGTCCGCAACTCAGACTTACTCATTGCTCGAAAAGTTTAGCATTAACTTCTTTTCGAAATGATATTAGACAGACGATGTACGAGGAATAAAAGCTAAGAAAGCTTTTGTATTAATAGAAAGAATAGAAAATCAAAGAACATCGCAAACAGAATTTTTTTTTTCTCAAAATTCTGTGGTCTCACTCTGAGCTGGTTCTTTACTATTACTCCATAACATTAAGATGAATGAAAGATCTTTCTTTAGAATACACCTAAAGAAAAATATCCCTTTTTTCACACAGTGGTCTTATTGAATATGTTTAGAATTAAAGAAGTCATATGTGCAAGAGGTTTTTATCATAAAATAAGTCTTATTCATATTGTAAGGAAACTATTTTAGATAGAATCAATTATTGTTATTTTCGTAATATCTAGCAGGCTTGAGTAACAAAAATGAAATTTAAACCAAAACTTGAATCATATTCTGAATGAGCATAAAAATTACAGCCAATCTAAAGGTTTATCACAAAGTTAAGCTTGTTTTTTCCATAGAAAGATTTACTCTTACTCCGCGTCAGGATTTGACTTCAAAAAAAGAACTTTCCAAAAAGGTACTTCATCAATAGTAACAAGCTCCCAAGTTGTGACATAATAGTAGAACATACAATGCAGCATACATAGACAATCAAAATAGTTTTTGATGCATTAAATTTTTGACACTACTTCTTAAAGAGACGCATGATGAATTTCTTGAGGAGAAAATGATTCTAGAAAATTTTTTTTTTACAAAAACTGATTCGTTTAAAAGATTATAAAAACTCTTGAATGTTTTCAGCCCAAATGCGCTCGCAAAGCGAAAAATAAAATATTAAGATGTGTTTCAGTTCTAGTACGGCATTCCACAGGTCGTGAATCGGAATGCTTTACCTACTTGATATAAAAAAAAGCTTTCCACTGTTTGGAATTTAAATCTGAAAGCAAATGTTTCACATATCAAAACAATATAAAAGAGACTAGTGAGATCCCATGCATACTGCACGGCAGCTTTCTTTCCTTTAACGTATGATCTCAAACCTTTAACA